ATATGACCAAGCCCGGCCGGGGTGCGGGCCGGGCCGGGCCGGGCCGTCGGGCTACCCGGCCCATGAACAGGTCTAATCTTGATGATGTTTTATCAGCTCTCGTAATTGTTATCGGGAGATGGGGGCATTGTGGGGCGCAGATGTGAATTCGAATGGTGGAAAAGTCAAAAACTTAGGGTGATCATTTCAGCCCGGTCCGAACATGGCCCCGCCTTGACTCGAAAATTTCAAATTTGGACCTAGGTTTTTTATTCATGTTCAGTCGACAATTAGCCTACATAAATTTAAGGTAAATACACATATTTTGTATAATATATATATATATATATTATAACATGATAGTTATATATTTGTATTATCTACATGTTTTTATTTCAGGGTCAAAAGGAGCCAAACTAATTCCTCAGTTTTTTAAATTAAATCGACATAGTCAACCACCGTTTTTCATACATGGTAAATCACTCTTAGTTTCCTACCCTAAGGTTCAAATATGGGAATCGTAAAGGAAAGACGATTTTAAGAGATATTTTGGGATATACTTTGGATAGGTATGGATCTATACAAAAAGTTAAGATAGGCATGGATACATTAGAAAATTTATATAAATCTTAAAAAATACATTAATAACAATAAATATATTTTATATGGCGTTAAATAAGTTATATAAACACTTGTAAAGAAAACAAGTTATTTAAACATACAAACCCATACCTCAATAGTTTATATAAAATGTGAGATATAGGGACAAATTAGTAATTGTTGAAGATAATGGAAGAAGTAAAATGTGTATTAATTTTCAGAAAATCAATATAATTTATATTAATATTTATTATTATATAAATTTTAATAATCAATTTTAACATTAATTATTGAACATCAATTAAGAAGAAAAATATTTGATTAAGAATAAAAATGCATACACTTATAATCAATAATTGAATATGGAGTAGTGATTTGTTTGTGTTTATTATAATCAAACTACTAGGGTTCAATTCCCCTTATAGGGGATTAGGAGTTATTAAGAGAAAAGTAATAATTATAGGGGTTTGGAGTGAGAGAGAGAGAATCTAATATTACAATATGTATTGGCCGTTATATTCAAAATATCAGTCCGTATCAATCAATACAAACATGAAACGACCCAATACGGGTCTGGATCGGTCTGAACTAATCGATACAAACCTAAAATGACTGATACAGGTCTGTATCGATCCGATACAGAAGAAAAGGAAATGAAACTACTAGATTTATAGCATTCCATGTATCGGGATATCACTGAAATTATACATATCAACCGATACATTGCGATTTTTTAAAACTTTATTCCTACCCTGGGTTTCCGTCAAATAAGGGGTTGTTATTGTCGAACTTGGAACAATGATTTATTGTCGTGGCCCTACTAAAATATCAATTTATTTAATTCAAGGTGGGGCCACATTCCTTTGATTTTTGTTTCAGGACAGCATTAGGATAGTGTCATAGAAAATGTTGTTTGAAGGCCAGGTGGGGGCTGGAAATGAAACAATATCCAAGGAGACAGTGAATCATAAGTGAAGTTATTGGAAAATAAAACCCAAAAATTTAATAAAAGTACTTAAGGTGGACTGAACTCTGAATTTCCCTAAACAATTTTCTTTTGGCAAAAAAAAAAAAAAAAAATAGTGAGACAAGGTGCAATGATTCAACCCATTGCGATTCTCACAGATGCAGCTGCCATAGCACCGTATAGATTCAAATGCTTTTCTCATTTCTTCCAAAAACATAACAGTGTTGTTCATCACTTGGCTAAGATGGCAGCTGTAGACGAAGTTGATATCTTTGGTTCTGCAAGCATTCCCGTGTATTCACAGCATCGCGAACTCTATGCATTTCTCTGTAGTTGTGGCTTCCAAGAATTTAAAATACTCGTGAGATTATCCCTGTTGGTGGCGTCCCAATCCCCACTGCCACTGGAAGTAGCACCAGTTATGTATTTTGATCGTTACCAAAAAATCAGTTACCTATTTAGATCTTAAATTCAAGAATGAAATCAACTAACGGGCGTTCTAAAAAAAAAGAAAAGAAAATCAAATAACGGCAACCAAGCTAGTTGGGTTGCAAGTTGCGACATCATTGTCAAAAGTAAATACAAATAACGGTAACCAAGTCAGTGGCTTCCACTATATTCCATGACATCCTTCAGAGGATTTTTTTTTTTTTTTTCATCTTTGATACTTGTTGAAAGAAATTTCAAGTCAATTGGTTATTTATCTAGACAAGTTCATGTTGGAAAAAGACGTAAATTTGATATTTATGCATGCTGCTAGGTTGTTACACCGTATTAATTGGATTAACGGAGTACCGTTTCGCTCCTCCATCTCCATGTACAATAAAATCTCATTTCAATGTAAAAATTATCAAGTAAAAACAATACGATAAACAGATACAACATAACATACAATACAATCACAAGCCAAACTTCTTTGGTGGACGAAGATAGGTAGATGAACCCTGACGCAATCCCGGCAATGAAACCCGTTGCCGCTGCCTCGCCCTCCTCTCCTTCTCCTTGACTTTGCTTTCTCTCTCCGCCTCTGCTTGTAACTTCCTCAAGTTTTCCATTTCTTCTTCCATCGCCGTCTTTTCTTCCTTTTGCTTCTTCTTATGTTCCAGCATCGATGTGTCCGACTCCTTCACGGAGAAAAACATGGGGCCTAACTCAGCCAACCATTGAGGTTCAACTGCAGTCACACATTGCATGTACTCTTTAGTTGTTAATATTAATTCATGATAAACCACGTAATCTGGAGTATAACCCAGACCGTATAGTGCACTGCTTGGGTGCAAGTGGCATGGCATCCCATTCCTACAGTTCACATATTCCCCCACACCCTTCAACCTTGCTGCATTGTGGAAATATGCCGAACAAATGGCTTTCCTCACAACATCCCAGTCAGGCCCACATGTGGTAAGTGGAATCTTTAAGGTTTTGAGTATGTCCAACAATTGAGACCTGACCTCCCTTGCCTTCTTCAACCCTTTGACATGCAAGAAATGATCATTACACCAATCTCCTCGATACTGGTTTGCTTTCCACTGTTGGTAGACATTGAGTAATGTAAGGTGATCTGATTCTGGGACAAAGAATTTCTCCCTGGCTGCATCACTCTCCTCTGCCCTATCTTTAGGCCGGAAGAACACTGATGGCACCGACAACATCGAAACAATTGTCAGTACTTCATTCACACATCCTAATTGTTCCCCCATGAGGAGCATCTTAGCAAGTGGTGGGTCCAGTGGGAACTCTACCATCTTCCATCCAAGATCTGTCAAATTACCAACATTGTTCAGGGCACCCAAGACCCACAGCTGATACATGGAATTTAGGATATTATCCTGTGGAGGTGGGTCCATGAAATCAAAATCCAGTAAGTTTTCTATCTTCAAGGATTTAAGCAACAAAACTACATTGCCAAGATTAGTCCTCTGGATCTCTGGCACGGGATTTGGAAGCATCTCATTTTGGTAGGCGCTCTCTGTGTACAAGCGATAACAGGTACCTGGCCCTGTTCTTCCTGCACGGCCAGCTCGTTGATCTGCAGCAGCACGGCTAACTGGAAATACTTGGAGGGCATCCATACCCATTCTAGGGTTGTAAACTTTCATCTTACCATAACCTGTATCGATGACATATAAGATACCATCAACAGTTAGTGACGTCTCTGCAATATTGGTGGCCACAATGCATTTTCGAGCCCCATCCTCGGCTTTCTGAAAGATCTTGGCTTGCAAATCAGCTGGCAGCTGGGAGTAAATGGGTAGTATTGACAGTTTAGGGACCCCTTTCTTGGTGCTAGAGGTAAGCTGCTCCATGCGCTCTGCAAGTGCATAACATGTTGCTTCAATTTCATCTTGACCAGTCATAAAGATGAGAATATCACCAGGTGGGCTTGTGATATGGATAGCCATGGCCTGCTTCACTGCGGCTTCAACATAATCTTCGCATGGTGTCTTGCTATACAAGATGTTCACAGGGAAGGTTCTTCCAGGTATATGGTAAATTGGTACACTGAAAATATTAGGATAGGAAAAACTTCAGGATTCGACGAAATGCAGAGATACAATTTTAATGGTAATCAAGTAGGAAATCTTACCTTCCAAAGAAGTTGGAGAACTTCTCTGCATTTAATGTTGCAGATGTCACAATGAGTTTAAAGTCACGACGCTGAGCAACCACTTTCTTGAGTATTCCAAACAGTACATCAGTGCTTAGAGATCTCTCGTGTGCTTCATCCATGACAATGACACTGCAAAAATAATACCTCAATTAAAAATAGCACCTAGTTCCACAAAAAAAAACAAATACGGTACTGTAAGAGAATAGGACAAACACATAACTACTTCCAAATTTATGAAAGCAAAAGCTCAACCATACCGGTATTTATCAAGGTCAGAATCTTTCAGGGTCTCACGCAGAAGTACTCCATCTGTCATGTACTGTACAAATTAGAATGACAGGGTTTAGCCAAAAAAAGAAAAAAAAAATGAACAAACGGATGGACTACATAATCAATTGGTTAAGCTATTCTATGGAACAACAAAAACATCATAATGGAACAATTTTATCTCACAACAGGAACCAAAACTCTGAATAATAAACAAGATTATATCAAAAAATATGAAATTAGATCAACTGATTACCTTTATAATTGTATTTGGCCCAGTCTCATCCTCAAACCGAATAGCGTAACCAACTCTATCACCTAGCTCAGTTTCCATCTCCTCACTCACACGTTTGGCAACACTCATGGCTGCCACACGCCTTGGTTGAGTGCAACCAACAATTCCGGTAATAGTGTATCCATCTTCATGCAAATACTGTCAAGAATATCTATACATTAGAAAGCATGGAAAAAAGATGCTTGAAGTTCTTATTAAATGTGTAACCATGTGGAAGATACATGTGAGGATTTGAACAAACCTGTGTAAGTTGAGTTGTCTTTCCGGAACCTGTTTCGCCTACTACTACAACTACCTGATTTTCGCGAATTACCTAATCCATGACCAAATGAAATGAAATTAGAGGAGCATTACTAAATGATACATGGGAAATTACCAGCCAAAATTGAATTAAAATGTGGAAAATTGTGTTGCTGTCTCTCTCTCTTTTTAACTCCACAAACCATGTAATTGCTACAAGCAGCAAGTACATAGATACAAAGAATACCATGTTCATTAAAATTAGTAAAATCATTTAACAGAAACCATTTTCCAGTATATGAGAAAATAAAATGCTGGACTTTCTGATTGGATTTAACAAAGTGTTAACCAAGTCACAGGCCAAAAGAACCCGTACCCAAAATACTTGCCTAATCAAACTTTTGACCCTTAAATTTTAGTGAGGCAATGCATAAACTGAAGGAATCACCCTCCCTACACTACAGTTCCTTGACAAGATATGGTCCATCCAGGAGCTCAAACACAAAATGTTTGTGTACATGTTCCTTTCTTGATAATTAACATATTTTTTATTAATGTAAAATCAAACTGCCCCAAACAAGTAGCAGTTCAATAATTACAATGCCTTCATGGCTTGCCCAGTACTAATCAGATTTCAATATATTGCAGCAACATTACAAAGTAATTCCCAGCCCTGGTTCTACCCAATCCATGAAATTGTCCTTCTGGGTCAAAAATCAGAAAATGGGCAAAACAAAAACAATTCAATCTTCTAATGCTTCTCTTGTTTCTTCTTTTCTACAAACAACAAGGAACTTTCATTAACTCTCATTTCTTCTAGTTATCCAAATGAATGAGATATATCAGATTGGCTGCATGATATCAATTAGATTGTTCTAATTTTATTATGAAATGATTGGGTCCTAATTAGGAAATGTGTACATCCATAGAGCAAAGCATACTTCAAATGTGCACCACATGCATTGGCATCTTAACATGTTACAACCTGATGTGAAACTAAATTGATTTCCACAGAGACTAAGTGCTAACCTGCAATAATTCATCACGTACAGAATAAATTGGCAGGTATTGCCTCTGTTGGGATAAGGACTTTGACTTTGCGAAATCACTAACGGCTTCTCCCTTCTCTTTCATGTGTTGTGCAAACTTTGCATCCTCCTTAAAATCAACTTCACCCTCTTCCCCTACTAACGCTGTATCAGCATCGATCTGGTTTGAAAAAATAAAATGAGACAGATGAAGCATTAATAAATATAGTTGCAAAACGGTAATTAAAAATTTATAGATGTTATTCAAAATTGAAAGAAGCATGCCTGTTCAGCTGTCTTTTCAACACCAAGGATATTTCCAAGTTTTGATCCTGCAAGCTCCCAAAACCGTTGACGTGACTTGCTCATACTCTGTTTTTCATGAATTTCTCGAACCAAAGAAGATCCTTTGCGTGCTATGATAGCCATATCAGAAGTAGGATCTTTCAATGGCATTATAGGCTCTGCTTGCTTTGTGAAAACAACCCGCCCATCCAAGAATGGTGGTTTTGTGTCTGCAATAACAAGATGTGCTGAATTAGGTCAACGGATTAACAAGGCAGACGCATTTTAACCATAAGCACAGTGAGAAAGTAGTAGATAAATACTCCAAAATTGTGTCAATAACTTAATTATGGTGTGCCTTTCCTTGATCCTTTACCAATAATTAGACTATAGGGGGCAGTGAGATGTCTCTCTTCAGTAGAGAATGTGAGCAACTACATTAAGAAGGATATATACAGTCAAAACCTTCCAGTTTTTAAATTCAAAATTGCAAGAAGAAATGGTTTAGTTTGGATATATAGCATCAGATGAGATTTGCCCGAAGGACGGAAAACTGCACGTGGAAGATTCCTAGGTCATTTTAACAAATTGACTCAAACATCTGGCCAAAATATATACATATTCGGCTAAAATTAGTTTCTGATGTTCTTAATTATGTAGAAAAAGTTCTAGATTTTGTTCTCATTGCTTCCAAATCACCCATCATTACCTTGAGTCATCATATTTACTGTTAACTGCAGCCTAAGATACAGCATTTCAAATCCAATTCTCCAGAACTACACTCCTCTCTTTCGAGGATATCTCTTCCTCTCTTCAGGAGTACAATTTGTATTTTAAAATTAATACAAAATTAATTGCTGGTCCAAAAACCACAAATCATCTAAACCCTAACATAGTTGCCAAATATTGGCTAGGTGGATCAACTGCTTGGCAATGCTTTAATAGGGAAAGCATAGGTAGCCATAGTATAGTTCCATTTGTAACTGGTTAAATCTAATCACTGTATTTACATACCATGAACAAGAAGAATAACTTTCCGTTCATCCTCATCCTCAAACTCTGTCTGTACCTCTGTCCCCCTAACAGCTCCAGATCTCAAAAGTTGCCGGTCTTCCCATTGAGCATTATCAGCAGTCAATTGTGATAATTTTTTACTCTGAGCAAGTGTCATCAGTGTTCCATCCTTTCGAACCTGAAATAGATCATATTCATGTAAGAGTAAAATAATGACATGATAGACAACAATACAGACCTCCCAAAAAGCAGTTGTATGATTGAACTTGGGTTATGACAATACTCTGAGCAAGTGTGCGCACCATAGTTGTATGATTGGTAATTAATGCGTGGCTAGTTTATGACCATGCCTCAAACAGGGAAAAACAGAAAAACAGTTGTACATCTGATGTGTAAAATTCTGTTTGATCATGAGATGGTGTTGTTTGAGATGTTGTGATGATATCAAAGGCTGACAAATAGCCTCAGGAACCATGCTACAATATTTCAAGGCATCCTCAATGAGGTAAGAACAACCAATTAAATGATATTGTAACTAAGCTTAACACAAGTCAACACAATAAACACCTCTATGAGTCAGATTGAACTTGGGTTAAACCATCTTGAATATAGGTTGCAACTCAGACTCTACAGTCTACTCTGATCCTGGGTGATAGGAATCTATCGGCACCCTTGAAGACTTATTATAGAAAGAAGGCCTTACAACAGGTCCTGATATGGCATAGTGATGGTACTTGGGATTTGGACTGAACTGAACACCAAGGGTACTTTTTTCATTTTGCAATTTTCTGTGGGATCCATTGATAGGGTTTAATTTGTCTAGTTATAGTTTGTTTATGTCTAAAGTTTCAGAGTAATTGCATAAGTAGGATTAGAGTTATTGAGTCTTCTTTGAATTAAAATAGGATATGACAACTTAGTTTGAGTCCTACCAGGAGTATTGAGTCTAACAGTTTGACCCCTAGGATTATTACGAGTTTAGAGACTATAAATATGTATGGACGTTTTACACAAAGGCAATGAATTATATCGAGTTTTCTTCAGCTTATGCTGGCTATGGTGAGTGTTTCCCATGCCCTAGAGTGGTTCTAGGCACCCTGTGAGTTCCAGGTATTTTCTCTTCTTTTTTTTGATAAATGTATTTTCTCTCTTCTTTCTCTCCCTATTTCTCTCTTATTCCTTTAAGAAGCCATTATAAAATTCTGATCAAGAAGACCATTCAACATTCTCTAAGGATTAGAACAGAGCTGGTCCTACATCACTGGGCCTGGAACCTCAGGCTTTACACTGACTCAGGTTGGGCTCGGGTTGATGCCTCACCCAGAGCCCAGACCAAGCACAGTTTGACCAACCCAGTCTGATCCTGCCCCAACCCAAGCCCACCCAATCTTCTATGATATATGAATTATGAACCCCATGGAATTGATGTACAGTACAGACCATTGATTGCTGCAATAGTAAAATATGAGGATAACATGAGAAATAAGAGCCAATAATGGATATAGCACTAAACAAGACAGAATGATAAAACAGGATTTATCTAGCCAACTCCACTTTTGTGCTTGACATGAATGCCATGGAGTCGGCTAGCATTGGCTGATAACCCTTTTATGTAGTGATATATACATTCTGTATATATGCTTTCTGAATGTTTATATAGTATTATGTCCATGCTAGAGTACATTTACACTGTACAAGATCAGCATGGCACACATTCGCACATGCATGAACACATAGAAACACATATATCCATTACATGTTATGGAAATACATACATACATATACATATACATAAGTACGCATTCTCGAAGACATGCACATATAGTTATGTTCATGTATACGTGTACAAGTATATATTTACTAACTAATGATAATTGTATGTAATTTTCTGTGCATATTGGGTTATAATGTTGTAGAAGTTCAAACATGAGCAAGAACTTCAAGACCGACCATCTGCCTGGGCAGAACCAAGCTCCCTCATGTCACGGGAGTAGTTCTGCAGTGGAAGAAACCCGTGCGGCGTCCAAGCCAAGGCAGGCCAGGACAAGCCTGATGTGTGCTTAGGGCTAGGAGTTGCCCGATGAGATGGCTCCACCAAGGTCAGTAGCACTGGATCATGACCTCAAGTCGCATGGCCAGGGCTCTCGGCTAGCTCTTGCCAGTCATGGGAGGCGCCTCTTACGTGCTAAAGGGGGAAGGCCATGATGTGAGGCGACCTGGCGCTGATGTGCAGGTTCTCCTATACGCCGATGATGCAAGCACATGAGTGCCAATGATGATAGGCAACCCGCTTGGGCCGGAACACACCCGTGCGCTATGGACAACAGGATAGCCCATTCAACTTAGGCAAGGGGCTGGCGTGGTGAAGGGTCATGCTTAAGCTAGGCCCGCATGCCAAGCCTCCCTTGAGTGTCGGTGGCGCAGTGTCGGTCCATGCACCGTCCCCATGAGCATGTATGCGCCCATGAGGAACCCTGGTAGCCATGCTAGCCATTAACCAGGGCCGCCCCACAAGGGATGTTGGACTAGGAGTGCCAAGGTTAGGCACCCAAGGAGGTCGACCACCCCTCCTCAAAGAGTACGTTAAGCTTTTGGTGGTCTGCCTAAAGATAACATCACTTTTCCCAAAAATCTTACAAGCGAAAATGATGATGGTGTCCCTTAACGTAAGCCCGCCAAGCGTAGGCAAGGCTAAGCCTGTGTCAGACCGTGACAAGCTCCCCCACTCAATCCATTGTCATCCTCGACAATGGCTCTTCTTGTGAATGGGTGTTTGTGTTCCGCACCATTCACTTCTGTGCCAGTTTTGGGCTCGCCTGGCCAACCCAGGTCTCGCCTATATTGGTGTCCATTTATGGGGACGGAACCATTTCACCATGTCAGTTGGCCTGGACTTCACCCCCTATGTTGAGGTTACTCAAACCGCGCAATGGCTATGCCGTTGAAATGTGTGAGAAGGGCCCTCGAAGAAATTGGATGTGTGCTTCGCAGAGGTCCGCCCCATGTATCTCTTTACCTCAAGGCCCGACCGTCTTCGTGGTAGCTTTTCGGTGGTGCTACCGAATACGATGTGATGGATTTACTCCTATTGTTGGCATGTCTCCTAGGTGTACCCTTTCACCATGCTGGCTTGCAGACTTCACCTCGTTGTGTTCGGGTTACTCAAACCTAGCCATGCTTATGCTCTTTTGGCCCTCGAAACTACACTTCACCTCGCTAGTTCGGGCTACATCTTCGCTCCGAGGGGGCCCCAACGTGTGATGCTTCAAGGAGATCTAACTGAGTTGTGCGCGAGCGTGGCAACTTTTTCCCATGATGTTGCCGAACATGCACTCGCCATGTGATGTGTGTTGCTGCGAATGTTCTGCCTTGTGAATGCTGAGCATGTCCTTCGATGCTTTGCCGGTGTAGGGCCGCCATGCTCCAACGGCCAGTGTACCCACATTCCTATCATTCCAATATTGTGGCTTCAACCAAGGACCCATCTGAGGCAAAACTGTCACTGCAGTGATATTCCTTGACCAACCGTCGACACCAACCAATTTCGGACTGTTGTCCCCACCTTAGTAGTGCCTCAGACAAAGCTATAGAACAATGGCTCATCTGTCATGAAACCAAGATGTAGGCGCACCGCCCACAACTCACTAAAATGAACAGCAACTAATGTTCGTGAGGAAGCATGGCACTCCCCCACTCAAATCGCCACAATATGCCTTCCATGTAATGGCTCACGCGTCTGCCCCCGCATGAGCACAGCGCTCAATGCGTCTACCCCCACAAGGGCGCTGTTTTGGAGTCATTGGAATGGGGACACGAATGAATGGCCTCTTGCCAGGCCTGATATGAATTCTTTCTTGAACCCGTGTGGAAGTGCCTAGGGACCGCACCCCACGATGTGTTGCTTGTCGTGATGACCGCTTCAACTGGCTCTATGTTGATCGACTCTGATACCAACTACGGCAGCAATTGGCTAGCTTGCTCTGATACCAACTGTCACGGGGGTAGTTCTGCAGCGAAAGAAACCCGTGTGGCGTCCAAGCCAAGGTAGGCCAGGACAAGCCTGATGTGTGCTTAGGCCTAGGAGTTGCCCGATGAGATGACTCAACCGAGGTCAGTAGCACTGGATCATGACCTCAAGTCGCATGGCCGGGGCTCTCGACTAGCTCTTGCCGATCCATGGGAGGCGCCTCTTACGTGCTAAAGGGGGAAGGCCATGATGTGAGGCGACTTGGCGCCGATGTGCCTATACGCCGATGATGTAGGCACATAAGTGTCGATGATGATAGGGAACCGCTTGGACCGAAACACGCCCGTGCGCTATGGGCAACGGGATAGCTCATTCAACTTAGGCAAGGGGCTGGCGTGGTGAAGGGTCATGCTTGAGCCAAGCCTGCATGCCAAGCCTAACTTGAGTGTCGGTGGCGCAATGTCGGTCCATGCACTGTCCCCATGAGCATGTGTGCGCCCATGAGGAACCCTGGTAGCCATGCTAGCCATTAACCAGGGCTGCCCCACAAGGGATGTTGGTCTAGGAGTGCCAAGGTTAGGCACCCAAGGAGATCGACCACCCCTCCTCAAAGAGTACGTTAAGCTTTTGGTGGTCTGCCTAAAGATAACATCACTTTTCCCAAAAATCTTACATGCAAAAATGACGATGGTGTTCCTTAACGTAAGCCCACCAAGCATAGGCAAGGCTAAGCCTGTGTCAGACCGTGGCACTCAGGCACAAGCCTTATTTATAGGATTTATCTCAGGCTAATTGGGCCCAAGGTCCAGGTCTTAGGATTGGGCTTGTATTGTCTCTAAACTTGTCCTAATCCACCAAGTTTCACTTTACCACCTGAACTGATTATCAAGTTGATCCATCCTATAACTTGAATCTAACACTCTTGGGCTTGGGCTTGTGTTATATCCAGATCTGCCTAGATTGACTCTATTGAATATTCCAAAGGAATAGAAAATGAAAATAAAAAAGAATGATCCTGCTTAGACCATCTAGTGAGATTTTATGGTACATATCCTTTTTTTTTTTGAAAAAAGGTGAAGCATATTGTATTAATAAAAGGTCTTGTGTATAATGAGTAGTTGTACATAAAAGGACCTCAAGAAAAGGGCACCCTTAGAAAAGCAATTCTCAAGCTACCCAAAATCCCATATCAAGTTCTCTGCACAATATTGCAGAAAACAATGCCAATAGTTTACACCTATCAATAAAACAATGCCTATGAAGTATGAAATATTGTAGTATAGCATAATCCTTTAACACCCCACAAAAATCTTTTGGTACCCATTGTACCTATGATGGGCAACTAAGAGATCGTCTCCTTGAGTTTCATAATTCCTCTCTTCCAGAGTCATTTACACTTATCCACAGACTTGAAAAAAGAGTTCTTGGCATTGGGCACTACTACACAGTCACTCATCTTATGATAACTGGTTTTCTTCTTTTGCAATGTGCATGAGCACTGACCAATAACTATCATACTATTTAAGCCCATAATTCAAAGTTTCAAACTTGTGATGTATTGCCTCATGAATATGTTCATATTTATCCACCGAAAAGGGGAAAAAATAAATTAAAAAGGATTCTAGAGGAATGGATAACATGTCTTTCTCGCAACATTTACAAAACTAAGCATGCAAGCATTGATAGAATATTGTTTTCAATTGGAAAGACTACCTACTATATATTCACACATACCAGTTTCGTGGCCAATTCTGCCTTTTTCTTTTGGAATGAAGCCTCATCCCCAAAGAAAAATGAGGAACTATCACCATCAAACATTGTATTACCTTCTTCTCTATCATACCTAAATGAAAACCAGAAACAATAAAGGTTAGGACAATTGGGTAGCCGTTATAAACTGTAACTGTGCATGAAAAAAAAAAAAAACATAACAGAAGCTCCAGATTGATAATCTGGACAGTGCTGAAACCACAATTACCAAAGTAGAGATAAAGACTACCAACAAATCAAAGCCTCATAAATACCAACACTCGAAAACAAGTTAAGGATAAATAAATCTAGAAGTTCACTAAGAGGGTGTTTGGCATCACTGCATTTTACAAGTGTTTTTGTTTTACCAAGAATCAGGAATGCCACCTCCTGATTATGCATCATTTAAAAAAACACATAAACCATTTGGTAGAGATGCATACCGCTAAAGTGCTTTGACTTTATTTTAAAATATTTTCATTATAACAAGGGTATGACATCTCAGAAAAGCTGTCAACTTTTTCAAACTTCAGTGTGCACATCATATTGGTGATTCAAGATCACCATGCAAACTGAGTAAACACCATCTTGACAATTCAAGAAACCCACCCTAAACCCAACGCATAACCATTGCAGCAACACTTTTCCAAAAAACACATTTTTCCAAATGCAATTAAATGATGTTTCCATTTTTTTGATGTGGCAAAGATGGCAAAAAAAACTTTCATGAAATACATCATTGCCAAACATACATTAAATAAGCAATTTAAATATGTACAGTTAACTTAAGCATTTTTCAGGGTAGTTCTATCCACAACCTCTATGACCGACCATCTACTTGACCTTGCTAATTGAAAACAACTAACATGGTACAAATGAAAACCGATTACTAGAAGAAGAATTACTTGAGTTCCGTACAAACTGATCTTACAAGTTATAATGCTTTTCAGGTTACTAAAAATGATAACCAAATATGGCATCAAATGAACCTCAAACATTATTCACAAACAAAAACATATAAAACTTCCACCAATTATCTTGGAAACAAATTAAAAAAAAAAAAAACTCAAAGCATTCAATTACCATGCACGGTCAGAATTATAGTCCATCTCTAGACGCATTCTTTCAGTAACCTCATGGTTATGTTCTTTGGTTTTGTCAGTTTCCCCATCCTGGAAATAAGATAAAGGAAGCTTAGAAACATTATACAAAGGGAAAAAATGAAATCTGTAAGCAGCACATCAAAAATACAATATAATTCATAAAGTAACACAAAAAGCAGGGCATAAGCAACACATAGAGATATCAAAAAAAAGCAACACAGAGGAGACAAGGATGAATGTGCACCCAGCACTAGCATTTAATTTCAAGAATAAATAAGGTTCATAAGCACATAATACCTCATAACCTGGTTCTGAATTTTCAGAAGAAAATTGATGGGACCTTCTACCAGGATAAGAATTTGATGATCTGACTGAGGATCCAGATGCACGTATTGGAACTGGAGAAGGAGAAATGTGGTCCCAGGGAGAAGAAGAATGTCCTGTACAATACAATTACATAAACTTAGGTGTTCAATTTAATAACCATCACGACATTTAAAATAGGATAACAATTTTTTTGTCAGCTGAAGTAAGAACCAACATTTCAAACTGATTTCACTTTCTACCTGCAGAACGAGGTGTATGACCACCCAACCACGGTGAAACCAATCGTACGTCAGGTGATGCCCCAACTAGCATTGGGGATGGTGAAGGTTGATGATACCTATCACTTGCAGTGTGACTATCCCGCCGTGGTGTATCTTCCCATTCCCATCTTCCATCATCCCAGGCAGATCTACCTACAAAGTATATTACTTTTTTATTATATAAATAACAAAATAATTACAGTTACTGCTATTAAGTTAAAATATGAAATATAACTCTCATTGATTACGATAATGATAATGATGATTTTGGGATATGAATGCATTCATTCTCCTATAAAAGAAACTGAAAAGCATAACTTACCAGGTGTTCTCCTAGAAGAATACTCATATTTACTTCGTTTTCTTTCATGTTCCCCACCATACTTTTGGTCATATGCATAACGGCTGTGTTTTTCTCTTCCATGAGAGTGTTCTTTACTGTCATCACTATATCTTTGCCTCACCCTCCTGCTCTCACCCCTCATTTCATCCTGGATATTTTTTCTCTCACCATGATGTCCGTCTCTATCATGACGAACAGGACTCCTAGAACGAATACTCCGGGAACTTCCAGTAGATGGAGAAGGAACCTTCAATAAGAAAGCAAAGTAAGAAAATCTTGTGGTAGAGATAAAGTACCATTAATGACGTGGTATACAATGACATCTCTCTGACCTATGCAACCACACACATATAAAAGCATACATTTGAAACATGAACTTAAGAACCTTCTTTTAAATAACCAAAAAATAAAAGAAAATATAAGAAACTTATTAATGATTAGAAGAGAGTATAAAAATGTACAGAAAGTCCCGTGGCCAAAAGCTTTACAATATACCCCCACCCCAACCTTTTACCCAAAGGAAAAACTTCCCATGAATAATATCTCTAACTTTCAGCCCTTTGAATTCATTAGAGTCCAAATCAATCAAAAGATGACAGGTATTAGCACAAAGACACACTACTGGTGTATAAGACTAGTCTGAAATTTTCCTATTTTTATCCTTCCATAAAGACCACAAACACGAAAGATACACAACACCAAGTAAACCCCTAGTCCCAAAGACAGCAATGTCCGAGATAAAATAGCCTCAAGAATTAAGGAACAGATCCAAAATGTCTGAAACATGGGGAAAAAGAATTCCCCCAAGAAGGAGGCCTCGCAGGAAAGAAAGATTCCACTATCTGATGCATGGCGAGCACCTGGTTAAGGAAAGCCAACAACATTAAGGCTTCAACCCAAAGAGGGACCACTTTCCTTAAATGCATCAAAAATCAACAGTTCCCCATGACACTTCTAGCAAAGGCAATATAGAGTTACCTCACTGAGAACCTTCCACCATAACTAATATCATGACTAGGGAAAAAAAAAGGATCTTTTCAAGTTTTTTTAGGAACAGAAGCATGTGTTCTATGATTTCCCTACTCGGTAAGGGCCTACCAAACACCTGATTCATATATCTACTCCTAATTGCAGGGGAAAAAGTAGAGTTTCATCATGTAAACAAGAAACAGGGTGGTCCACTCAATACAGCAAAACATTTGAATTACTAGCATACCCAGTCCAACATTTACCAAAAAGAACCATAAATATACTTGATTGGTGCAGCAGTGTGTACATGGTAAGATCAGTTTGAGCCTCTTTAGAAACTCAAAGAGAAGCTGACAGACATGAAATAAAGATAGAAAGGGCCTGAAAGTCCTCTGACCCCAGTCCCACTAATAAGAAGTTCACAGGAGAAAAATTGGCAAAAGCCAAAAGTGGGACCCACAGGGCATGCCTAGACATGATGAGCAATACAATTAGCAGATAAAAACTTCAAGCCATGAGATAAATTTCGAAACCTCTTTTTCTTTCAATATAAGTTCTGCCAAATTCCACATGTTCCATTAACTGGGCTGATTTCTCTAGATTTAAACATTTCTTTTAGCTTCTTTAGTATCAACAAGTTAGAGTAGTATTTTTTTATCAATACAGGTTGTAATAGTATTATAAAGAGATTTTAAATTGTCTTTGTATGTGGAGTATCCACTTAACAAAAAATTCTTTTGTGAAAGTTGTAATCATGTTTCTTTCAGCCTATTCTGTATAGGTAAAAAGCTTTATGCTCGTTGCATTAAGTACCACATTGTCATTAGATACGTTATTCAGTTTTCTATCAAACAAGGTCAAGATCTTATAAATCCAACATATTTTTAGAAAGCTATGGTTATTTTAGTGACAAGGTGACAGCTGGTGATGAGAATTGAGCGTGCTATCTTCTTGAATCTCTTTAAATTTTTCTTCATCTTTTAGACACTTTTGCTAGAAAATTCTTTTTCTTGACATTCTTGCTTTCTGAAACCTATTTGTTACTTTATTCCTTGGGGTAAAATACCCTACACTATAGGTCCATAACTATCATGTAAAACTTTTTTACCCCAAACATCATCTCAGTGGGGGCGGCTACTGTGAAATTTTATTAATCTCAGCCTTGGAAGATGCTCTGCAAGTATTTGATGGTGCGTTATTGAACTATATGTAATTTGACTGTTACAATGGTGCTGTTGGGTTTTCATCTAGTGTTTTTTCATGTAGTCATTAAGCTGCTAGAGGTGTGTGGTGATAGTTTATTGTTGGACGGTTCAAGCAGTGTGTGAGGGTGATATTTGGTGCCTGAAACAAAATCTTCGGAGAGTCAGTCTCCTCTTGAAGTCAGTCCCTGCCTGGTAGTAGCTTGGACAATATGAGTTTTCCAATTATTATCATCCCTCTTGATGATCTCAACCACTTGGAGTGGGACAAGGCTATGAGGATGTTTATTAGAGGAAGGGGAAATTTGGAATATCTTACTAGAAAGATTAAGGAACCTACTAGTGATGGGGGTGATCATGAGAAGTGGGAGCAAGAAAATTACATGATAATGACTTGGCTTGTTTCCACCATTCAGGCTTCTCTTAGGAATCAGTTAATGTTGGCTGAAACTGCCAAGGAAATTAGGGACTGTCAGCACCCGATTTTCGCTCGATCCGCCACCTGAACCTCCAATTTGCCCCAAACACCCAATCAGACCCTTCTGATCCCTCCAAAACACCCAAAAACCCCAACTTTCACCCTGAAATCCCTCAGATCCACCATTAAACCTGCCTGATACCTATCCGATGGCCCCGATCAACTTCCACTTACACCTCAACCATTGGATTGGACACAACCATCAGACCCAATACCTCCCAAAACACCCACCTGTGAAATCTCAACCCAAAATACCTCCGTTTACCCTTTAATCGCACCAAGATTCCATTTCCCATATTGACCAGGTTACAAATCTGCCCGATCCGGGCCCAATTTACTCAATCTAACCTTACCAATCACCTTAGACTGCCGAAAAATCCTACCCTATGAAATTTCATCCAAATCAGACCTTGTTTGCCCCTCGATCACACAAATATTCTGTTTTGAGCCCCTAGATTAACCGAATCAAGCCCTTGCCAGATCTTCCTGATCCAGGACCATTTAGCCCAGTCCCACTCCACCAATCAACTCAGAATGTCCGAAAACCCCACCCTCCCAGATTTCAGTTGAAAATACCTAAATACCCTTTAGAGCCAAAATTATCAAAATACCCCTAACCTAAATTCCCAAAATACCCCTGACCTAACAAGATACCCCACCTTCCCTAAAGTCCCAAAATTACCCGAATTACCCCTTTGACCAATTCCCAAAATACCCTTGACCAAAATTGCCCAACTACCCTTTGACCAATTTCCAATACACCACTGACCTAATTCCCAAAAATGCCCCTCCTTCCAAAATTCGCCTAAATTCCCAAAATACCCTTGACCAAAATTACCCGAATTACCCCTTTGATCGATTCCCAAATTACCCCTAACCTGATTCCCAAAAATACCCCTCCTTCCAAAATTATCAAAATTTACCTAAATTACCCTATGACCAATTCCCTAGTTTCCCCCCGACCTAACTCCCAGATCACCCCAAGTTTCCAAAAATATCAAGTGGGTGCCCCCCAATCCCTAGCTTCCCTACCATAACCCCCTTTGTTTCTCAATTTTTAATCAAAAACCCCCCTTCCTTCCCATTATAAATAAGGGGCACTATTCCTGAAGAGAAGGGAGGAAAGAAAGAAGCTGGGGACGGGAGGAAAGAAAGGAGCACTAGTAAATGCCTTGGAAAATTTAAAAACACTAGACACCCTAAACCAGACCAAATTTTGGCTCTCATAAGGTAACTCAGTAACTTCGCTAACAAAAAAAAAGTAACTCAGTAACTTAGGCAAAGTACAAAAAAATGTGAAAAGCACGAAGTTGAATTTCGATACTCTATGCTTTTTCTCCCTTTCATGTACTTTATACTTTCTAAAATGTGTGCACCAGCCACACATGCAATACTTACACACTCCACGTGGCAACATATATGGATGCCACATGGAAGTATAAGCACATCAATGTATTCAATGATGTGTGTGCAATGTGGCAGCATATATGGATGTCACATGGCATTTGAACATATTCAATGGCATATCTATGCCATATGGTGGCATTTAAAGGAAGTTAGTGACAAGCGTATGCCATTTGGCAGCATATATGGATGGCATGTGGCATTTGAATGTAATTAGTGACACATTTATGTCATGGTGCCATGTGGCAGCATATATAGATGCTGCATGGCAACGCATATGGATGTCACTGGGCATCTGAACATATTCAATATATGCCACATGGTGGCATGCACACGTAATACAGCATCTTGTTGTATCCAAATGCCATTATTTACTTTTACTTTGAAAAGTATATTTTTGAAAAATGTTCATCCAAACGGTTTTCGAAGTAAAAGTACGAAAATAAAAGTACTACACATGCTTTGTAGTTTGTACTTTTATACTATCAAAATTGCAAAGCACAAAGTATTGCCAAACAAGGCCTTAGTTATGCAAATCCAAATTTGATTCTAGAGCAACAAATATATAAAATAAAAATAAAATATTTAGAGAATGATCCCCTTGCAAATCTAAGTGCACATCAGGATGAAGCACTGCAAATTAGAACAAGTGTTGATCTGAAAAATGAAGGTCTACAATACAGTTTTAATATCAATCATGATTGATTGATCACCATCAAATGAAATTGATACAAGGTAAGGAATACAATAACTTACCTTGGAACAAGTTTGGTTATCAGATAAAGTCACTAGAATATAAGGATGTGCAATAAATTAATATGATCTAAGGAGATACAATTACTTACCTTGGAACGTGCATGGTCATTTGAACGATGAGTTCTATCACTAACTGGTCCTTCCAATGTCAGATCACTTTCTGCAATACCAAACATATCCACAGTGCTAAATTAAAACAAGGTAGCACCACAAGAAAAAATAATGGAAGCCTAACTAGAAGCTCATGGAGAACTTGTAAGTACATATTATTCATACACAACCTGGAAAGTACTTGCACTTGATCTAAACAAGTTGTGCATAGTTCCCCTTCCCCCAACAGATCCCCAACAGGGCATAGCCGACCATGTAATGTCTAAGATTAGGTGACCACCTGGGCATTTGGGAGGCCACCTAGGCAACCAACCAAGCAGGTGGTAGAGATAAAATCATCTTAATGGGTAGGGCTGTTCACAGGTTGGTTTGGTTCAGTTATACAGATTTTTGGCAACCAAACAGAACATTTCGGGTTGGCTATTGTGCCAACTGAAGCTGACGACAAATAGCATAAACCGATTTGTAAAAATTCTGTCGGGTGCTCGGTTTAGTCGGTTTAAACCGAACAGAGATCTCCATTAATACTTTCTAACTTTGGATACTTTTTTCTTGTACTTTTGCAGTTTCTCATAAGATGTAGCTTAATGTTCTGTCAGAAATGATGTAAAAATTAAAAAGAAAAAAAGAAAATCATTATGAATCCTAGAGTTATAGGTTTAGGACAAAATTGTTATGACAGCAATCATCATTGAAAATTTTGAATATTTTATTCAAATATTAAAATAAAAATTAATTAATTGGTAGGTCATAGGGGTAGGTCCTAAAATAGGCCTAGGAGGTAGGGGCTAGGTTGCAGACACAACAGAAAGTGATAGGTCATTTCATTGTAAAAAGTGGTTTACGGGAAAGTGGGACATTTCTTATATGAGAGAGAGATCACTTTTTTTAACGGCTATACTATATCACACTATATATAGTCGTTCCGGTCAGTTTTACTCGGTTTATAAATTCATAAACCGCAACCCAAACTGATCAGTCGGTTTATCTATATTTTTAAACTGGAGTCGACTGAAAATTTAAGAAAACCAACCAACTCGGATCGAGTTGGGTCATCGGTTTGGCCCAATTCATGAACAGCCCTATTAATGGGGACAAATAAATGATTATGCCCCCTTTTATATATTGATACGAGTGTGGACAACCATCGATATCGATAATCATGAGTTTACATAGAGAGAGAGAAAAATTAGGGCCCTTACTCCCTGTTGAAGCAAATTAGTTATTAAAACCTCATCAGTCATTTTTTTCAATCAGATGTAAGTTATCATTAAATCATTTACTTTCTTTTGTAAGCCTGTAAGGCAATAGTTCATATTGGCAACACATGAGCATTCATACTGCAACTGCATGTTTATCTAGCCCCAGATTAAATGCCACTCCTTTCCCAACCATCAGGAATCCCAACTTAGTGAACCAAAAATTTTCTAATATATACTAATTTGATCAAGTTTTTAAGAAAATATTATCAAATTCAAGGACAAGATAAAATTGAAAGAAATAAAAATCATTAACAATTGAGGTCTATGATCAGTCAAGTAATAGCATGATTTGTACCTGAATGGGATGTGTCTTTTGAAGTCGCTTCACGATAACGACGACCAGCATGCTGATGTCCACTATGTGATATATCAGTCTCAACCTCATCTAATCCAGAGGAAGCAGAGTTTTCATTTTCATTTTCATTTATGGAAGCTGCAACTGATATAGGTCTTTCTCTTGGAACTTTAAATACACTGTCACCCTTAGACGCTCTTTTGGCATCAGCAAGGACATCTAAGCCTGTTAAAATTAATAGGACAATTCGTTAAAAGACATATTAGAGTATAAACAAAGTTCAATAACGTTCACAAAGCAAGGGCAAATTCAAATGCAGTAACAAGGTACCATTAACCAGCACAAGGATGATTCAAGGAAGAAGCATGTTGAACATGTAACTCATTTAAGACAGGTATTTTAAATATTCAACATTGAATACAAAAATGCAAAGGTTGAACTCGTCCTTTATCATCGTATGGAAATTGGGAACTGTGGCTTCCAAGATTTTTAAGTGCAAACAGGAACTTATTAATATATGAAAAAAAAAATTGAAACCACTGATCAAAATAAAAGAAATGTTTTGAAACCAAAACCACATCAAATTGGAAAGCGGCCCCCTCAGCCGGTATTTTTCAAATATAGTCTCACCCCAAACATAGTCTCTAACAACCTTCATGATAGGGAAGGAGTCAGTTCAGTGTAATGGTAAGATAACGAGCTGACAAACGTGAGAATGCAGGTTTGAGTCTTGTGCCCAAAAAAGGCCAAAAGTTAGGCATGTACCCAGTGCATGGTGCACCCCACCTAAGACCCCAGATATAGCTGCAACACACACACACACACACACACACATAATAGATAAGCTTTTTAAGGCCTTAAGAGATACCCAAAAGGAGAAACTTATTAAGATTCTTCACTCCCAATTTAAGCCTCCCTGTCCCCTAATTGGAGCCACTCTTCTTCTTTATATAGCAAGGAAATAACAAGAATTTTAGTAACAGAAAAAGATAAGACACTCTTCCTTCACTGATAGCTGATGGGATCACATTAAAGTTTATCTCTATCTAGAATTAAAGCTAGTTAGGATATTTGGTTTTTTCTCCAAATCAAATATAAGGATCTTTTTAGAGCAAAAAAAAAATCAGATAGAATTTTTAACTGATAAATTTCATTAAAAACACCCAATTCTATTAGAAGTTCATCCTCGAACAAAATAATGGGGGGGTAGGACTGATGCTACACAAAATCATCACATCTCTCCTAGCAAGATCATTAGTCATGGTGTTTTATCCCCTAGGAATCCATCTTGAGGAAGATGAAAGGAGCTCAGAATATCTCTAATCCCATTAGGGAATTCTGCCAGTCTCCACTGGCCAGAACCTACCATTCAGGTTCAAGCATTAAGAGTGAAGGAGGCCACATTCTTTTTGCAATTCTTGAACCAGCACAGCATCAGCATCCCAGTAGGGGCACTGATTGTAGTGTACATCAGTTATTTAGAGGACCTAAAAGGGAATTGGGATGTAAAATGTTGAACCAGCACTGGTTATTCATTCTCTCAATCTTTATGGAAGTCTCTTTTACCAATTAGAAGTGGGGATGACACTCAAGTCTACCTGTTTTGTAAGTTTTTTATTCCCCTTCCTGCCACAACCATCGAAAAAAATAATTTAAGTATATGGATGTACATAAAAGAGACACAAAACCTGCAGAAAAACCATTACAAAGTACCACCTTAAACACCTAAAATGAAGACCAATTCATCCAAAATCCCCCATATCATGGGGAAAATGCAATCCAAATTACTAGTTCCAAAGCATCACTATCAAGAACAGAATACAAAGTTTTTTTTTCCAAGAACTTTCCTTTGAGTCCAATTCCAAACCCTTCATCCAATTCCAAACCCTTCAACAGATTAAAATAAATAAATAATTATTTTGGAGAAAAAAAGCAATCGCTCACCTCACCAGCTAAATGAGGTTTTCAAAATATTGGACACCACACTGCCAAACCAGCTTGTAGATGATAATTCTAATTTATGGTCTTTTTTTATAAGTAAATCTAATTTATGGTCTTGTCACATGCACATAAATTGGAAACACACATCCCCAGGCCACATTTTCTTGGAAAAAAGGTCACATCCCCCACTTCAAAACCAGGCAATGCGCCAATGCCTTGTGATCAACAAGGCTTTTCCCAGGAATTTTCCAAAAGTTCAACCCATAAGAAGGATACATAGTTACCAACATGCAACAGAAGGGGGTTGAACATACTTAGCTACTAGTGCACCTTTTTCCAAAAGTCCAACCTCTAATAATGAAGCTACCTCAGATGTATCTTGTAGTTTTTTTAATAAATTTAGTTTGGTCATAAGTTGCTATTTTGTTATATTGATTTAGCATTTTATAGTCCAGATTAGTTATGTTGACATGTGTTGATAAGAGTCCGTTAATTGGTTGCTTACAGAGTCATTGTGGTGTCATAGTTTTTTTATATTAAAAAGAAATTTATAAAGAAATAAAGAACAAAGAGATTACAAAAATAAGTAATAAGAAATCACCCACGATAAAGAAAAAAAACAATCCCAAGACCGGACACTCATAGTTGAATGACTCTAGTCAACACCATGTTCATTGTGGAGATCATTTAGGAGGATCCGAGGATGTTGAGATATTGAAGGAGAGAGTTCAACATTTATGAGCAGAATTGCACTAAAATTCTTTGAATTCATCCACCACCTCCTTAATAATCCCTAACATCCATTAAGAGAGAGAGAGAGAGAGAGAGAAGAGCTTTTAGAAATAGTAAATAGCATGCAGAATAACAACTATGCTGTGATTGACATTGAGCTTGATTATAAATACCCTTTTTTGGCAAAATTATTTGCCAGTGTTTATCAACATAAAAGTTGGAATAGACTAGTGAAGTATAATTGACATGTCTAAAATAATGGAATATCTTCACCAACGGTGTTTCTTATTGGTTTTCAACAACTAACTGTCTAACGCAGGTCCTAATCTTAAATAATGGTTTTAAAATATTCATTGAGAAACATAAAACAATATTCTAGAAAGGATAGAATATTATCTCAAAAAAGATTGTTATTATTATCAACCACAACCTAGCAAGAAGATTTTACCAATTGTATTGTGTGCAGATCAGGAGCATACCTAGAATAGATTTCCTCTCAGGAGGTTTGAACACCACTCTATCTTTCCCAGGAACATATAACCCTCCCGTAACCTTCTCAGGTTCCAATGTTGCTGTTGTTTGGTCCAGGTCAATGGGTCCAGCTTCACCTCCAGGCATCTAGAAATTAACAGAAATGCTAACAATTCATAAATTGATTAAACCAAATATTGACTAAATAAGTAATTGAATAATTAACAATAAATTGAAGAGAGACACTTGTCATCTTTAATTTTCAACTTTTCTTTTTTTTCTGATTAGCAAATTATGATTTTTCTCCTGTTTTCTACTACATCAACAAATAAGACATTTAGCTGGTGTATCAGGTCAAAACACAAATGCAGTACTTAATGGACATCCTATGTCCGTGTTGTGTAAACCAAGACATACAACAATTCAAAATAGACCAACAAATGCATACTCTTCAACAGTAGTTCCTATATATTCCAGAAGACAATTGCAAGGAAGAGTGGTGCTCAGGAGCTCCTAAAATGCAAAACCAGTAAGCCACATACGGGTCAGTAAAACATCGAAGTTTTGGTTTTTCCCTTTAATGGAGATTAAAACCGCATAAAAATAAAAGGATGGGCAAAACCCAGATGGCCTTAAGAAAAGAAAAAAGTGACAAAGCCCTTCATTTAGATGGAGAATGAGGGAAAGAAGAGTGTACAAAATTCGTATTTTAGGCTTTGGAAATAAGGGAGAGGACTTCAGGAGATTGGGCGAATTCCCTACTTTAGTGTCTAAGAAGAAGGAAATGAGATAAAAAGAAACAAACAGAAAGATAAATAAATAAATACCTACTTGTACTTGTACCCTGAATACTTATATCAATGGAGATTGATCGACTGAAGGTGAAGTTTAATTGACTACTAGATTAGAGCTCCTTCAATAAAAAGCATAAAAAGAAACAAATAATTTAAATTTTATGTAATCATGTGTGACTTATTTAATGTATAATGGTCTAATAACTATTAAATGTGTTGAAATTTTTTCAAGGTTACTCTTATGAAATCTAAGCACTAAAAAAACAATACTATAATCGAAATAACTAGTGACTACGAATCACCATATAGAATTTGATACCACGATACAAATTCTAGACTATATAAGAAAAAGGTAAAAACAAGGAAGATGGGATGAAGAACACACCTGACACTCAATACCCAATTTACAAAATATGAATCCGTGAAGTTCAAAATTGCAAATTCCTATAAAAAATTACAATAAATTTTTTGAAATGTATTTCCTATAATAAATAGACTTCCTACCAATGAAACTAGGCAAAACAATTAAATTTTTAAATTAGTAGATACACTTTCATTAAAAGTACCAACTAGCAAGCAAGGTATATCAAACATGTTCATCCAGTTATGAGAATTTAACTATAATTTGTTCCTATTAGTATAAGCAAGTTCTCTAATTCCCAATTGAATAAAAAAAAAATTACCAACTTTTTAATTAAAATTCTAATTTCAAGGCTCGAAGCCTAATTAAAGATCAAAACCTGGTTTGAACTTTGATATCAAAATTTAAAATCCTGTTTTCTAAATTCTAAATTTCTAATGACCTTTCAAATTACACCCATTTCTTTTGGAGCAAGTACCTTATCATTAAAACCATAGTTTCGGACTCCATCTTCATTTGGCAATGAAAAAGGCTTTCAGAATAACCATAACCACGGTTTTAATTTTTAAAATTTTGGTAATTATGTAACACTAAGTAGAACCGCAACAGATTAACCATAGAAAATTATGATTTAAGAAATAAGAATAAGAAATTACCTTGGCCGTTGATCACTTGGTTAGTCGATTGTTAGTAAGTTACAGACTTCAAAGTTCAAACCAAACTCTGTTTTGTGTTATAATAAAATTAGAAAATTAGAAAAACAAAAGGCTATATTGAATATTGAAGATGGAACAATAGGAAACTCAAAGCAAAACTCTGTTCTCAGTTTCTATTTCAAATAAAAACTCAAAAATTGGAGTTACCAATGCGGTAGACAAGCAAAAACCGTATGAAAATTGCAAAAATAAAAAAATAAAAAAATAAAAAAATAGAAGAAGAAAGAGATGAACGGAAGAATAAGGGAGAAACCCTTGCGCATTTGCGCCAGAACAGAAGAGCAAGAAGAAGAAGAAGAAGAAAGGAAGAAAAGAAAGAAAGAAAATGCGAAAACTCACCTTGATCGTCGTTTCAATTGTGCAGTTCTCACTTCTCACTCAGTTCGAACCAGGAAGAAGAAAAGAGGGAAAACCCCAATATGCTAAGACTCCCACGGCATGATACCCAACATGGGTTTTTATCTATCAAAAAAAAAAAATTGTTCGACTCCCACCCCAAGTCCCTGTTCGGCTTTTTTCGTCTTTTTACATATTTACCCCCAGAACGACTTTAAACCCAATTTTTTTCGGAGAAGTACGGACAGGCCCATTGCAGAAACCTGAATCCCGGGCCAGCTCATACAAAATCTATAATAACAGTTAAATTCAACTTTTGAAATTATAGTATAGATTCCCACACCAACTAAGCATCATGCTTTTGCACTTCGGCCAGTGCGTTCTGAGCTCTCACCTCCGCCATCGATGCCTCGAAGTCCACGTAGAACATGTACTCGAAGTGCTTCGTCGTCCTCACGTTGGCGTCGTCCACTAGCCTTATCGGGCAGTTCCTGTGCGGCCGGCTCTCAATCTTCGTCAGGCTTATATACCAGAATGCGAACGCCGATAGCACCTTAAACAGCATCGACGTCCCCTTGTCGTGGGCGAACACTATGCTGGTCTTGAATGGACGGTCCATCCAAGGGATTATCGGCTCTCAAGCCAGCATCACGAACTGGGTCACATTGCTTGAGTCGTCCTGTATCCCGTCCGCCAGCACCTCCATCCCGTAAGCTCCGCCGCCCGCGCGCTCGCTATGGCCGTCGTGTCCCGTAGGTTGTTTGTCGCCACGAACTCTGCTACTCCCACCATGTCGTCCTGCGCCTCTTGCACCACGTTGAGACCCATTTTATTCAGAGTCAGCTCACACTAAGAGAGGGCTTGCGGGTAGCTATGACACGGCTCAAGTACTCCTTCTTCACTCTGAGCAAGGCGAGCAGGCAGTGGTGGACGAGGAGTTGTACTTCCCCCATGATGTGGAGGCGATGACAGAGGAGCGGGTCGTAATTCTGGTGAATGCTACCCCCAGCGAGTTCTCAACGAGCAAGATGGCCTGATTGGCGATCTAGAGCTCCATTGCCTGAAATGCCACACCACTTCGAATTGGTCACAAGGGATGGCCTGGCATTTTGGGGAGGCCTTGCCTGTAGTAGCTTCACTGTAAGCTCTAGAGACGCCCTGATAAGTGACGCTAAGCTAGGAGCCATGCATCAGGGCGAGAGAGAGATTGGTGATGGTAAGGGGTTTGGGGAGATTGTTGTTGATGTTGTCGATCGGTGATGGCAAGCTGGATTGCCACCTCACAGGAAAAGCATAGGGAAAAGCATTATGCTTAGTTGGCGTGGGAATTTGTCCTATAATTTCAAAAGTTGAATTTAACTATTATTATAGATTTTGTATGGGCTGGCCTGGGATTCAGGTTTCTGCAAGGGGTCTGTCCGTACTTCTCCCATTTTTTTAGGGTAAATTTTTTAAACTACTCTTATGATTTAGCTAATTGAGTAAGTGTATCCTTATTGTTTGGAAATTGACTAACACTACTCTTATTGTTTCTAACAATTGACTAACTCTACCCCTGTCGTTAGCATCCATTAATGCTCCATCACAATTTATGCACATGTGACCCCATGTGACCTATACAGTTTTTTTAAAACCCAATATTGCCCTCGTACCCTGAGCCTCCGTTCTCTCTCTTTTAATACCTCCCCCTCTGCCTTCGTCTCTCTTTGGTCTCTCTCTCCATTCTCAATCTATGGATGCAAACATATACCGATCATCGCTGCTCGGCAAACCCAACTTTGGCTTGCTAACGCCTCTAGAAATGGCGGAAACGGATCATTCATCTATGCCACTGCTCCACTTATACCGACCATCGCTGATGAATAGCAGCTTCAATCTTTCTCCGCTCTTGCCTAGAGTCATCGGAGTGACTGAGATTCTACATCTTTTCATATTCGACGGAGCCTAGATCGTCGAGAGCATCGGCGAGAACCATTGTAGCTGTTGGTGAAGTCAGACCAAGAAAACCAATCTTCGTAGCTTATGTACTAGAATATGCCACTCGAAAATCTTCATCAATGGTTCTCGGATTCTCAAACGGCGAAAAGAGTTGGTCTTCATCAATTCAGTTTTGCATACAGGTTTCAGACGGAAGTTGCAACGGAGTGGAGAGAAGCCAGTGTGTGGAGGGGAAAGAAGTTGCGTACCAAACCCATTTAAAAACTGGTGCATGGAGGGGAGAGAAGCTGAAAGTTGCAGCGGAGCGGAGAGAAGCCAGTGCGTGGAGGGGAGATAAGTCGAACTAGGAAAACCAATCTTCATAGTTGATGCATCATTGACGGTGCCTCAGTTTAAAACCTTCCCCATTCATCTTCATTGTATGTACCAGAATCTACCACTCGAAAATCTCCATCAATGGTTCTCGGATTCTCAAATGGCGAAAAGGATTGGTCATCATCAATTCAGTTTGCAAACAGGTTTTAGACGGAAGTTGTAGCGGAGTGGAGAGAAGCCGGTGCGTAGAGTGGAGAGAAGCTGCGCACCAAACCCATTTGATTTGAATATGAAGCCGGTGCGTGGAGGGGTTGTCGTTGAGTAGTGAATAGAGCACTCGTCTGTATTTGAGTGCATGGAGGGGTCTGTCGTTGCTGCAGTGGCAGTGATGAAACAGGGACGAGGGTAAATGGGGGAGAGAGAACGAAGGGATGAAGAGAGTAGGAGAGAAAGAGAGGGAGGGAGCCCTTCGTCGTTGTGCCGAGAGGGAGAGAGAACGAAGGGCTCATCGTCTCGCAGAGCAGTCTTCGGGCAAAACAATAGTGGCCACAATCATTCTCTCTCATTCATCGCCTACTTCCTTCGAACAAAAAAACAATGACAATGACACCCCTCCCAATGATTCTCCGAGCTAAATAGTAGATTCTCCAACAGGCATTATCCGATGTTATGAAAGGGGTTAGGTGCAAAAATGATAGGGATGTAAGTGTTGAAATCACCGAGTTCAGTGTTTCTTTTCCCTTTTCTCTGTTTTACTTTGAAAAATTGAAGAAGAATAAAGGGTAAAATAGTCTTTTCACCCTTTTGTTAATGGACATTACGACAGGGGTAGAGTTAGTCAATTGTCAGAGATAGCAAGGATAGTGTTAGTCAATTTTCAAACAGTAAAGGTACACTTAATCGATTAGCTAAACCATAAGGGTAATTTAAGAAATTTACCCTTTTTTTATGCTACCGCGTCAATTATTTTACGCCTCGAGGCTAGCGGCATACATCTCACGACGTAAACGCCCTACAACATCTTGAAGAGGCTACCAAGGCTTATTACCAAAAAAAAAAGCTAACAAGGCCAGGCATTTTTGGCAACCTCGCCTTTAGACGTACACCTCTTGCCTCGCTTTGAATGCTTTTTAACAATTTTTTTATATTTATAAAATTCATCATGGAATTATATATTAACAATATAAATTTTGATTTTCTAGACTATTCAATTTAAATGTTATTCAAATAATAAAAATTAACATTAAAAATATAATATTATTTAAGTATTTTGATAACAAAATATTAAAGATAACTAAATAATTATATAATAAAATGTTTAATATTATGCAATAACTTTGAAACAAATAAAATTTAAATAATAATAATATTTAAATATTTAAATAACTACATATTTTAACTAACGAACCATTTAACATAACTAGATTTAAAATAGTTAAAATAATGAAATTATGTAATAAAATAAAAATTTTCTTAAAGCTAGAAAAATAATTGTAACATGACATTCAAATTAATAAATTATAATTTTATGGATTATTAAATTTAATAATTAATATTTTAAAAATAAATAATGATATAATTTAAATAACTAAATAATATTCTATATAACTAATTTCACTTATATCACTTAATAATTCTACCAAATAACTTTCAAAAAATTAATATTTATTACTAATAATTTTAAAATTTTAATGTATACTTATTATATATTTATGTATTCTAAAATTAATATTTATTAGGTTTTAAATAATTATTTGTTGTTTTATGATAAATATATTTTCAATAATTATGTATAAATCTATTTTTATTTTATTATTTAACATACAAGTTTCAATAATTATTGGAGATTAAACTATTATTTTTTAACTTTTTAAGTTTAATTTATTATACTTATTATAATTATTGTATTTGTTTATAACTTATTGATTAATATTTATTATATATTAAATTATTATGTGGGATTACTTATTTATTGGCTAATTTAACATATTTTTTAGTATTTGTTGTATTTATATTGTTATCTATTGTATTTTCATTATTAATATTTTCCAATAATTATGTATTTTTGCAACAAATTTTCAATAATTATTGGAGATTAAACTATTGTTATTTATTAAAGATTAAACTATTAATTTAGCTAAAATTAAGAGTGTTCACATGTTGGTTCGATTCAGTTGTAGATTGTTTGGCCAATCAAATCGACCTAGTCAAGTTGGGGAGTTGGTCACTTGAAACCAAATAACCATTAGTGAAAACCGGCCAACTCAAGTTGTATCAATTTGGGCCGATTTTCAGTTTGGTCGGTCGGTTCAAAAGATTTAAATTTAAAAAATTACAGTGGCACTACTAAAAAAATAAAAATTTAATTTATTAAACAAAACATTTTAAAAAATTTAAGGAATATGGGAATTTTCCCACTTCCCTATATTGGAAATTTATATTAAATTATAAAATATTAATATATATCTATTGTTAGGTCATTTGATTTTGGTTGATTTACAAATAGCCAAAGTGAAACTAATCCAACCTCGCTAGGTTGAGAAATTGTTGAGCCAAAGTCAATCATAAAATACTAGAAAACCGATCAAGCTGGTCAGGCTGGTCAATTTCATCAGTTTGATGAACAACCCTAGTTGAAATTAACTATTGTTATTTTTTGTATTGTAAAAAAACTATTAAAAGTAGTATATAAAATATAAGGGAGAATCTATGATTCGGGAAAGATATGGTATCATTAAGAGATTTGACCAATCAAAAGCCACCCATTAATTTTGATAAATAACACTTGATTGGCTACCAAGCTTATGGTACTAGTTGATTGGTAAAAAATTGTTAAGATATTATATC